CAATGTCTTTAAATATCCATAAAAGATCACAGATTTTATCATGCCTGATTGCAGAAGGAAACTACTCTCTGCTTTGGCCTAATTCTTACATTTTCTCGACAGCTTTTAAACTGAAGAGGAATGCCTGAAGTAGGCTGAGCACCACTGGCTGGGTGGAGGCCGGGGTCCCTAGCAGGGGGTGCACGCTGTTCATTACGTGTGGAGGTGACTGTGCCCCTTCGAGACCATGAGCAGGACAGCAGCTGGAGTCTTCCTGAACAGACCTACAGAACTGCTGTGTTCACTGGAAGACTTCCCAAGGCAGGATCACTGGCTTTTTGAATGGAAGAAATCAGGCCACAGAGTTTTATATTAAAAATCACACACACAAAAATAAAAATAAAAAGGTGCGCCTTCTGATGAATTGCCGTGCTGAATGATTGAGGTCAGGAGATTACCAATGAAATAGTTTTTCTTGGAAAAGATCAAAAGTTTATTTGAGAGTGTGAGAGACTTTTCCCTTCTGCTGGTTCACTCCCCACATGCCTGCAATGGTGAGGGAGTGGGCGTTAGCTAAGCTGCTGTGGGAGTCAGGAGTGCAATCCAGGTCTCCCATATGAGTGACAGGGACCCAACCATTTGAGCCAGGGTCTGCATCAGCAGGAAGCTGGAATTGGGAGCACAGCTGGGACTCCAACCCCGGCGTTTCACTATGGAAAGTGGGTGTCTCAATTGGCATCTTAATGGTTAAACATAACACCCACCCCTGATGGAATGACTGCTAATGAAAAACAAACAAACAAACAAACTTTGTGACACTGATGAATGGATTTTATTTATTGTTTAATTTGTTAAAGAATTATTTTTATTTGAGAGACAGAGAAAGAAATCTCCCCTCCACTATTGCACTCTCCAGAAGGCTGACTCAGGCAGAAGCCAGGAGCCCAGAACTCTATCTGGGTTTCCCACGTGGGTGGAAGGAGCCCAAGCACTTAGCCCAGCAGCTGTTGCTGCTCCAGGCACACAAGCAGGGAGCTGGACTAGAAGTGGAGCAGCCAGTACTTGGACTGGTGCTCTGATATAGGATGCCAGGGTCACAAGTAGCAGCTTAACCTGCTGCACAATGCTGGCCCCTGGGGAATGGAATTTAAGCCTTGTTTCTATGCTTTAGCAAGCAATGCATTTCTCTCATGTGGCTCTTCATGTCATTAGGGATGTCATTCATTGGCCACTGAAAAAGCAAGCTATTGAAATAAGCTGGACTTAGGACTCAAACATTCAAAGGCATAGTGTCCAGCAAAAGTGATCTTGAAATATAAAGTGGAGGGAAACCTGAAATAAGATTCTCTGTTAGGCGAACGTTACCCTTTGTGAGTTGTATCTTCAGTGCCAAGTTACTAAGCAAACCGCAGAGGAACAGAAACCGTTTGGAGAAGTCTGGCTGAATCATATCACTGGGTAATTTGAGCTGGCTCGTTTCCACGTGAAGCACAGATACAGCTTTGTCATGTTCAGAAACACTGAAATGGTTAAATGAGCAGGAGAAATCGATGACAGATTACAAAATCAGTTCATCTCAGTGGAAGCTACTGAAGTCGTTAAAACTGCTTCTGCGTTTGAATGTCCTGCAGAAAGCACCACTGGTTTGAAATTATTCTTTTAAAATGAGAGTGTTTTACAAAATTCCCTTTTGGAATATGAAACTTATGCAATAGCTCCTAAGGATTTGGTATCAGACAAGGGATTCCTGACCCATAAATCCAACTGCCTACTCTCCATTTGCAGTGAAATGTCACAAAGATGCCCTGAGTTAAACACTGGCAAGGCTGAGCCATGGTCTCCCTAAGACCTGCTTTTCTTTCACTGCTTTTTTATCACAGGCAATGGCTTGAAATCTAGGATAAGTCTGAGCAGCCTGGGCTGAAACCGGAGAGGAGGCGAGAACAGGGGGCTGTGTGGGAGGTGTGCATCCATTTTCACCCTTGACGGGCAGGCAGAACTCCTCTGTGAACACTTGGAGTTGGTCTGGGGAGGCGGCTTTGGGCTGGGGACGTGGATGTGGGAATCGTCTACCTGGAGGTGATGAAGTGATGGGAGACAAGTGAGCATCTGAGAGGGAGGCAGGTGGAAGGGAAAGCAGCCAGAGCCGCACACTGTCTATGTCACAAAATCAGAGGGAGTCTACCAGGACGAGGCGGCGTGTAGACTCTCGGTGGCGGAGGAGGGAAATGAAGCCACAGAAATATGGTGAGACCAGAGCTAAATCAGCTATAGAAAGGTGTGCATGTGTGTGTGTCCCCTCATTCTGCTTCTGTCTGTAACTCTGCCTCTCAAATAAATAAATCTTTAAGGGGGGGGGCGGGGAGAGGTAGGGAGGGAGGGAGAGAGAGAGAGAGAGAGAGAGAGAAGAGATTCCTGGTGCTTAACTTTCTAGAAATTATTTTCATTTTGACTTTTTGTGAATGTATGTGACATACAATTCTGCTAGGTATAAATTTCTTTCTTCTTAAGATTTATTTATTTATTTGAAAGGCAGAGATAGAGATAGATAAATAGATAGATTGATAAAGATCTTCCATCCATTGGTTCACTCCCCAAATGGCCGCAATAGCCAGAGCTGGGATGCTCTGAAGCCAGGAGTTGGGAGCTTCATCTGGGCCTCCCACATGGGTGCAGAGCCCCAAGCACTTGGGCCATCCTCTGCTGATTTCCCAGGTACATTAGCAAGCAGCTGGATAAGAAGTGGAAAAGCCAGGACTCGAACTGGTCCCATATGGGATGCTGGTGCTACAGGCGGTGGCTTTAATGGCTAAGCCACAGGTATGGATTTCTTAACTCATTGACAGTATTTATTAGTCATAACGTTGGTAACAGAATTTGGCAAGGTGCAAGAAACAAAGCACATGGGAAAGACGGCATTGCCTTTGGTAATTGTTCATAAATTGTCCACTGTTTTTCAACACATTCAATCTATTCTTTTTTTAAAAGGATTTATTTTATCTATTTGAAAGACAGAGTCACAGAGAGAGGTAGAGACAGACAGAGAGAGGTCTTCCATCTATTGGGTCACTCCCCAAATGGCCACAATGCCTGGAGCCGAGTTGATCAGGAGCCAGGAGCTTGTTCCAGGTCTCCTTGTGGGTGTAGGGGCCCAAGCACTTGGGTGCTTTGCACTTTGCCGAGTTCCCAGGTGCATTAGCAGGGAGCTGGATTGGAAGTGGAGCAGCTGAGACTCGAACCGGTGCCCATATGGGATGCTAGCATTGCAGGCTGGGGCTTTTAACCCGCTGCACCACATTGCTGGCCCCTCGTCAATCTATTTCTTCCTTCCTCCCTTCCTTCCTTCCTTCCTTCCTTCCTTCCTTCCTTCCTTCCTTCCTTCCTTCCTTCCTTCCTTCCTTCCTTCCTCTCTCTCTCTCTCCCCCTCCCTCCCTCCCTCCCTCCCTCCCTCCCTTCTCCTTCCCTCCCCTCCTTTCCTTCCTTCCTTTCCTTCCTTCCTTCCTTTCCAGGCAGAGTGGACAGTGAGAGAGAGACAGAGAAAGGTCTTCCTTTACCGTTGGTTCACCCTCCAATGGCCGCCACAACCGGCGTGCTGCGGCCGGTGCACCACGCTGATCCGAAGCCAGGAGCCAGGTGCTTCTCCTGGTCTCCCATGCGGGTGCAGGGCCCAAGCCCTTGGGCCATCCTCCACTGCCTTCCCGGGCCACAGCAGAGAGCTGGCCTGGAAGAGGGGCAACCGGGACAGAATCCGGCGCCCCGACTGGGACTAGAACCCGGGGTGCCGGCGCGGCAGGCAGAGGATTAGCCTAGTGAGCCGTGGCACCGGCCGTCAATCTATTCTTAAATCACATAAATAATTGACTTATCAAGGTAGGGTAAAATAATTGGCTGAACTTCAAGTCCAGAGTCTCATCTCCGGTGAAACCTTTTAAATGGCTGGTATCAAGTTCAAAGCCAGCTGATTTATTTCTCAATATAAAATTACTACTATATAATGGATATTTAATATGTACTTTTTATAGTCTTTTCCTTCCATTTAATTTTCCTCCTAGAAGTTTATAAGTGTATTTTAAGTTATTTACATTTGTTATAATTTGTAATCTATAGTATTATAAGTATACTATAGTTATAAAATCATTTATTTCCTGGAATGTTCACATTAACAGACATTTATGAAGGGGTTTTCTGAGTGAAAAGGTCTTGACTTATAGAACTGGATTGTGGAATTTTCTGAATGACAGGTGTTCTAACTGCAAATGGCTTTGTCTAATATCCACCTTGATGAAGAAGACATTCACCAGGGAAGCCGATGGCATGCTGGATAAATTCTAATTCAACAGGAAGACTCAGCTGTCTTTCCTAAATCTCACATATGAGAAAGGGGCAAATCAACTTGGAAAAAAAATTTTTATCACCCAGAATTCATCACAGTATTTACACAATTAGAATTTTACTTTATTTCAGAATAAGTTTACATTTCAAAAACGATATTTACTAAAGCCACAGCATTATTCACACAGACAAAACTTTTATAGCAAATCCTTAGTATGTGAGCATTAGTCATTTGACTACTATATGGATATAGGAGATATTTAAAAAGTGGAAATGATGTATTCCAAAGGCTGTCATAGGCACAATATATATGCTTGTATTGGTTCTGCAAGCATTATGCTATACTTCATGAAAATGTGATTCAAGAAGTTGTAGGCTTTTCAGCACTACATATTGAAAAGATACAAGGCAATATAGTTATTCCTATGTGGAGAAAGCATGTACTATCAAGACTACAAAACAGGAGCAGCAAGCCAAACCAACAAACAATTCCTTGGGTGTTAGAAGAAGTAATACATCTATGGCTTTTTCGTGTGCAGTTTTGAGACTGGTTAGCAAGTCCGGCAAGTGGAAAAGAGGAAATCAATCTGTAACCCAACATTCAAGGCATCCTGAAAGGCATCTGATATTTAACAGGTTCAAAATCAGAGAATCAAAAGTGAGCTTGACCTCAGCATAAAATTGTGAGGTATTACATAGCAAAAAAAAAAAAAAAAAAAAAAAAAAAAAAAGACTTCCTCTCATGTATCTTTTGGCATAAGAATTTTTATTCAAAAGAAGAACATGGTGGAAAAGTATTTAAGATGAATAATTCGAATTCACTTTTGGTTTTTAGTAACGATGAAGGATATAGGTCTTTCAAGGACCAAGAAAGTGAATTTGGTCCTTCCTGTGGAGTTTCACTTTTTCATTAAAATTTGAGTTAAAACATGTATTCATGCCAACGGTGTATCTGCACTGATAAAGCTGAGTATGTGGTCACGATAGAAAGCCACTGTACATTTTTCAGGGCAAACTACAACAACACCATACCGAAAAGTCTCTAAAAGGTAGAAATGGACACCTCAGATTCGCAGATGGTTCCTATTTAAACTAGCAAATCAACATAAGTGTAAAAGTGAATCATGCAGATGTTCACCTAATGATGGGAGGGGAACAGAATTCTCTTTTTCCTTTAAATCGTCAGTGATCGCAAGTCATCAAGTGGAACTAAAAGTCACACACAAAAGCAAATCATGAAAAAGTGTTAAATATTTCCAAATGCCCACAAAGGCGTGCCGGAAACGAAGACGTGTGGGAGGCCCAAACCACTGCCACGGCTAGCTCCTCAATGCTGCTTTTTTGTTCACTTGATGGGCGGGGGGTCAGGAGAAGGGTGTTCCGTCTCTCTGGAGGTCAGGCCATAATTTCTGCAGGTTCAGTGACCAACTTGGAGCCATCCCAGAAAGTCTTGAATTGTTCAGGAACGGGAAACTCTCTCTGCAAGAAGAACAAAGCTATTTCAAGCGAGGCTTCCCTTTGCGAACAGATGGAAGGCTGACGAGAGCCACAGGATGGGCAAAGAAATGTGACAGAGCCCACATGTGCATGGTGGAGGGCTCTTGGCCACCTGGAGTCTCGCATATGTCAAGTGTCAGGTCAGTGACTGCACACCGGCGTCATCATTAAAGCCAGCAGCTACCAAGAACCAGGCAGGCTTCTAAGCACTGGGCACACAGGAACCAACAAGGCTTTATCTCCTACAACCACGCTGCGAGGGGGCGGGGAGAAGAGGTGTCTCCTATAGGAAGCAGAGGGCCCACGATGGTATCAGTCGTAAACACAGCAGTCAGATTCCAAACCTGGGCTGTCTCTCCTACCTGCGTCTCTCACAAAGTCATCATGAACAGGAAACAACCTGCAATCCCATTAGCAGGCCGGGATAGGAAGGAGAATCTGCATTTGCAACAAGCCGAGAGGCTGGCGAGGCGGGAGAGGCTTTATCTCCGAATTAACTGCCTGCGCCTGATGAATTCTGATCACGAGAACGTGTTGAGGGTTGTGTAGAGATCTGTTACCCCTCCCCCTGCCCTGCCCCCTTCCCATTGGAAAACACACACGCGTGTACACACACACACACTGCACCCTCTACACACACGACAAAGCGGAAAATACAGAATGGCCCAAATGAAGGTGGCCTGGACTCTCCCCTTTCCCCAGGCTGATTCCCCAGTAATTCTGGAAGAGGATGGAACAGGAGCAGCCCCACAGGCCCTGGCTTCTGGGCTTGTTGAAACCCTGTGCGTGGGATAAGCGTCACATCGTGAGACGTGATGTCTCTGTGAAACACACGTGAGCACCCGTGCTGTTTCCTTGGGAGGGAGCTATTCCTCTCTCTAAAAACGAAGGCCCTGTGGAGTCATGAGGGTCCTCTGGTGGAAACCTGCAATGGAAGCCACAGTCTCAGTAAGCTAATGGCTGTGTGTGCCGCGTGCAGGAGCGTGGCCCGTATCCATCCCGGGGCTCTTCCACAGGAGCCCACGAGGAGCTGTCGGTCCTCCAATCCCAGGCCACATGGACAACATTGCAGAGTGAGGGCTGCTCCCTGACAGCCGTGCATGGCAGCTGCTCCCAGCCAGTAATGCGACGACGGATCTGCTCCGGGAGACTGATTCCTGTCAGGGCCAATCACCCACCCCCACCCTCCATCCCCGCATTCTACCGCCAAGGGCACCTCCTCTGTCCTGCTCCCTCCCCCCTCCAACTGGGCAGAGGGCCGACACCTGTGGGCACGAGCAATTGGCCCATGGAGGTAAGACTTCACCCTTTCGGCAGGAGAGCTCTGGTTTTGGCTACACTTGGCCTTTGGGCCAGCAGTGCTCAACCTTTGGCTCCGCATCAGAACCCCCTGGGACGTTCCCCAGACCACAGATGCCTGGGTCCCACGCCCAGAGAGCCTCATTTCATGAGTGTAGAGGGCTCATCCACACCCCACAGCTCCTCTGAGTGGATCCAGTCCCCATGCACGGGAGCCTTCTGCAAGGGACAGGGGTCAGCCCGAGCTTTGGCTGCCTTACTCGGAAGCTGTTCTGTATTGGCTTTTGTTCTTTAGCTTTTTTAATTGAGGGTGGGGGGAGGAAGAGTCCCAGAGGGGACCTTTTCTGGCTCCAGATTAGGCTGTCTAGACACCTAGTGGTCAGGCATGACCCAGTGCTGGCAAAGATTTGTGTTTTAAACAGAAATTATGGGGCTGGTGTTGTGGCATAGTGGGTTAAGCCTCTGCCTGTGACACTGGCATCCCACATAGGGCCGGTTTGAGTCCCGGCTGCTCCACTTCCATTCCAGCTCCATGCTAATGCACTTGGAAAGGTAAAGGAGGATGGCCCAAGTGCTTGGTCCCTGCCTTCCACATGGGGGACCCAGATGGAGTTCCAGGCTCCTGACTTCAGCCTGGCCCAGCCTCAGCTGCTGCTGCCATTTGGGGAACGAACCAGCAGATGGAAGATCTCTCTCTCTCTCCCCCTGCTTCTCCTTCTCTCTCTGTGTAACTCTGACTTTCAAGTAAAATAAATAAATCTTTAAAGATACAAAAAAGAAATTCAGAGTCCTGGGCCTCACTCCAAGCCTCGTGAACACAGTCTCTAGGTGCAGGATTTGGGAGCTGGCATTCTTCATGCAGCCTCCCAGCTGGTCCTTACACTGGGTTGCAGAATTTGACTGCTTAGACTTATCCCCTCCCCAGGAGCACTTCTCCTTCCTTCCTGTTCGCCTGCACCAGGACAAAGGGAAATGTTTAGTCCTCCACAGTGGGAGTTCAGATGCACGCTGTGCTATTTGATAGACGCTGGTGCATTAAAATAATTGTGGGTAAAGGGCCTTGAGAAGCGCCAGTCCAGGAGTGAGCAGAGTCAAGAGGCTAATGGGAGAGAATAGACATGGACGACGGCGTCCTGAACTCCTCCCGGCCTCTGAGCTGTCCCACGCATCAAGCTCATGGCAGGCAGCTGATGAATCAAGCTCCCAGGACGTCAATAACGAAGGCTCCAAGTACTTACATAGTCGCCATCCTGAGGGACAAGGATGTTCATTTCAGAGGACGTGGCGCTCACAACCTCACAGTCCAGTGCATCGTCACTAAGGTATATGTGGCAGCCTTCTGTCTTATTAATGGATATTGTTGGCACTCTCCCCATTACCTGAAATACAAAAAAAAAAAATCTGGGATCAAACCAAAGAAACAGAAACCATGATGTCCTCCAAATAAATACAATCTCGATTCTTCCAGGCTTTAGCTTGGTTATCCAGCATTAGGAATTGCTGGATTAGAGCTGAGGGACTGCTACCTATGGGCCATGTCTGCAGGCTGAATAGGGTAGGAGTCATTTGGGGACAGAATGAATGGACCACCCACCCAGGGGGCACTCCACAACCTCAGGTGCCTTCCCAAGACAAAATTAAGGCACTAATTTGGAAACAGCAGCTCCATGTTCAGAGAAAGTCTCACAATCCCACGAGAGGACCTGAAACATATATTTGATTTCATGATAAAAGCAATAAGATGCATTTTCCTTTATTTGCTTAAAATTTTAGTTTTGACCAATCTCTCTGAAACCTGGATTCAAACAAGTACTGTCATTTAAGAATAAAATTATTCTTGAATAAAAACTGATTAGATTGTTTCTGTACTTAAATAAGTAGGAAACACTATAATTCTTTTGACATAAGTCCTCTGCTGAAATGCAAAGCTTAAATGAGATGAGTGTCTAGGTATTTCGAAGTGTATTCATTTCAGGAGCCACAAGGAGAGGCTTGGTTCAGGACACTCATTATATAGATACACAGAACTGTACACAGAGGAGGCGATTCTTTGTATCGTTTATAAATATCGAAGGGCTACAACAATTCTGATAGTTTTAAATTTCTCTTTGAACAATCAGTTTTCAGACACTCCCACCAAGATCTCCACTGGGGCAGTCTCTCCCACATTACAACTCTAATTTTCGTTCTTGTAATGGTAATTAAAGCGATAAGGACATCTCCGCTTTCCCCTTGAAGAAAAGACTGCATTGCAAGTCCTGTTCACAGCGCAGGTGATGGGGAGAATTCCTTGCCGGGGTGTCTAGCCGGGTTACCATACCCATACTTCTCTGTTTACTGCTCTCTCCATAGAAACTGGGCATGGAGTTGGAATTGAGCCCAGTCAAAAAAAAAAAAAAAAAAAAAAAAAAAAAAAAAGGCAGAGGTAGTTTAAGGTCAAGTAAGCTCTGGGCTCTGCCACAACTAAAATAATAACTCACAGATTTATATTCTGATCTCAAGAACATGTCAGCAGCCATGTTTTGATCATTGCTAGATTTCCCGAACTGTTTGATACTAGACAAAAGGGAAATGGATAAATTGCTAGTACATCTTGGATGATTCGAGACAGTGGATTAACAATAGGTAAGTACACTGGCCTAACAGCATTTTACTTGTATTTATATATGTAGAACACCTTATGCATCTAAAGAGGCAATGGGAGAATTTTAAAAATAGCCCTGGCATGTTAAGGGTTGTTGTTCCCGCAGCCTTCTGGTCAGTGCCATGTATCGGTACATTCTGTGTGTGGCTTTCATCTCTGAGAGTCTGAGAACACCCTGAGAACAGAGATTACTTCTGATCAGGGGAGCTGGGCCAGGCTCTCTGCGGAGTGACAGATGTGGCCTTGCATAGGCCAATGTCTTGCATTTAAGACATGCTTCTGTAGTAACACTTGTTTTTCATGAATTTATTCCCCCCCCTTTTTTTTTCCAAAGTTCCCATTGACTAATTTAGGTTCTCTCTCTCTCTCTCTCTCTCTCTCGCACGCACACGTGGTTTGTACTGTTTTCCTAGGAGAGTCTGCCAAAAGCAGGATTACTGGACCAAATCTTATGAACTTTTGTCCATGCCCTTTTCTTCCAATTTTTAAAAAGGATTTTTGAGGTAAAAGCTGCAGACATGAAATTCACCCACTTTCCATGTACAACTCGATGCTTGTTAATGACTCCACAGAGCTGTGCAATGATTGCCACGTTACCATCACCCCAGACAGCCCTTCAAGGCCATTAGAGTCACCCCCATCCCCATCCGCAGGCAGCTGCTAGTCTGCTTTCTACTGATATTGTGTTCAGGTCCCTTTAAAACAAGTCCTTAGGGCCGGAGCTGTGGCGCAGTAGGTTAGTCCTCCACGTGTGGTGCTGGCATTCTGTATGGACACTGATTAGAGTCCCAGCTGCCCCACTTCTGATCCAGCTCCTTGCTAATGGCCTAGAAAAGTATTAGAAGTTGCCCCAAGTGCTTGGGCCCCTGCACTCACGTGGGAGACCTGGAAGAAACTCCTGGCTCCTGGCCTAGGATCAGCCCAGCTCCAGCCACTGTGGCCATTTGGGGAGTGAACCAGCAGATGGAAGACCTTTTTCTCTGTCTCTCCCTCTCTTTGTCTATAACTCTGCCTCTCAAATAAATAATTAAAAAAATTTTAAAAATAAAACAAAATATAAACAATTCCTCAAGTGTTTTCAATGAATTATGACATTCACTTAGCTTGACATTTGCCATAGGTAGACACGGTCTGCTCTTCCAGACACCATTCTACAATGCTAGTCCACATCCATAAAAAAAAATCATGATGCATCTCAAACATGGAAATATATAAAGAATGATATAACAAATGCATCAACGCCTACCAAATAGCTTTACCAGAGTGCTTCATTTTAGCTCTCTTTTTTAAGACTGAAGTCTTACACCGTGTTGAAGCCCCCTTTGTCATCCAGGGTCCCATTCTCCTTCCCTCCGTGTCCCTACTCTCCAGAACATTGTATTTGTCATTCATCATCTCTGTACCTTGGATGAGGGGACGGGTGGCTGCCTGAAGCTCTCATAAGCATATGTAATGCATGAGCACTGTTTTGTGTGTTCTGAATCTTCATAACGGAAAACAGGCGCATTTCCCAGTGGATGCCACTCTGGAACTTGCTCAATGTTGTTTTGAGATTTATCTGTTTTTTCCTTTTTTACATTTATTGATGAGGCAGAGAAATTTATTGATGATATATATATATGTATACATATATATATATAAGAAAGAGAGAGAGAAGGAGAGAGAGAGGGAAAGAGGGAGAGGGAGAGAGGGAGAGAGAAAGAAAGAGAGAGAGAGAGAGAGAGGCACTCCCATCTGCTGGTTCACTCCCCAAAGGCTTGTAACAGCCTGGGCTGGGCTGGGTCGGGGCTGAAGCCAGCTGCTAGACTCCCAGTCCCGGTATCTCTGGGGGGTGGCAGGAACCCAACTACTTGAGCCATCACTGCTACCTCCCAGAGTCTGCAACAGTAGGAACTGGAGTCAGGAGCTGGAGCCAAGCATTGAACTCAGGTACTCCAAGGAGGGACAAGGGTGTCCCAACGGCTAGGCTAAATGCCCACCCCTGCCCGTTTTCACATGTTATTTAGCTTGTTTATTTTAATTACTGTACTTATTTTATTTAGCTTGTTTATCTTCATTACTGTACAGTATGCCACTGGGAAGATTTATTAGCGATTCATTCACCCACTGGTGGCTGCCAGCATGAATAATGCAGTGAGCATTTTATAGCCATCTCCTGGGTGTATGCACTGTGCTGTTCCGTGCACATTCTCACGGGGCAATCACCCAGGCACGCACTATGGACGTGTCGTCCTTAGATGGTGCCCATTTGCTCTCCAGGGAGTGTAACAGATTTGCTCTCCCCTCCACACACCAGTGCACCAAGGCTCACACTGTCTCTCCTCCGGAGCAATCCTATAACCTCAGACTTGAATTCACAGGCAGTCCTCAGGGTGCAGTTCTCCGATGGGGAACTCAGTTAACACGGCCCTTTGCCAAGTCAGGGCAGTCTGAACACAAAGCTGATGAGTGGGGAAAGATCTATGTAATAGTAGTGTTAGTTTGCATTTCTACAAATCTCATACCTGTAATTCAGTTATAGAAGGTAGTGTATCTTCTCTGAGCTTTTTCTAGAATTATCGGATATAGGCATAGAGTTGGCACCAGTGCCACGATCTCATAAGGCCCACTCACAGCTATTTCCATTCAATGACCATGTACAAAACCAATTTCTTAGATGCAGTTAGTGAATGTGAGTTCTACTATTGAATATATGTGTCACTGGAGCAAAAGAGAAAGATCTCTAAAATCCAATTTTAACAAACATAATTAGGAAACACTAGAGAGTAGCAGTATGAGAAGAGGGGTGGGTGGGTATTCAGTGCAGTGGTGGAGTCACTGCTTGCCACGGAACGCCTGGATTTGAGTGCCGGCTCTGTTTCTGTTCCAGCTTCCCGCTAATGCACACTGTGGGAGGGAGCAGGTGATGGCGCAAGTAGCAGTGGCCCTGCCATCTGCTTGGCAAAACTAGATGAGTTCCTGGCTCTTAGCTTGGCTCCGGCTCAGCCGTGGCTGCTGCAGGCATTTGCGACTGAATCAGTGGCTTGAAGATGTCTGTCTGCCTGTCTCTGTCTCTCTGCCTTTCAAATAAAAATTAAAAAATCAATATGAAAAGAACGTAATCAAAGACAGAAGTTATAGCTGGCCATAGGTAAGAAGTCCCTTAGCTTTTCTTGTACTATAAAATCCCATATACCTTTATCTTAAAACAAAGAAATACAGATTTTCTTCTGTTTTGCAAATTCAATACCAAATCCTACTATCCAAGTTGTTCTTCTTCTTCTTTTTTTTTAAGGTTTATTGATTTATTTGAAAGAGTTACAGAGAAGGAGAGGCAGAGAGAGAAAGAGAGCCATCTTCTATCCACTCCACAAATGGCCGCAATGGTCAGGGTCTAGCCAGGCCGAAGGCAGGACCCAGGAGCCTCATTTTGGGCCCAAGTACTTGGGCCATCTTCCACTGCTTTCTCAGGTGCATTAGCAGGGAGCTGGATTGGAAGTGGAGCAGCCGGGACTTGAACCAGTGCTATGGGATGCCGGCATTGCGGGCAGTGGCTTTACTCACTATGTCACAGTGCCAGCACCCTCCAGGTTATTATTCTGATGATGTCAACTATTCTTCAGGAAAACTGTTCCTCCTCCTTGTCCAGAACCAATTTTCCCAGGGTGGGGGGGAAATTCTCTTTGGGATGGTAGGGCAATGAATCTCTTGGTATCTTTATTTATGCAGTGGCTCATTTATTGCAATCATGCACTCAGCAAACATTTATTGAACACCTACTATGTGCAGGTACTATACAACATTCTGGGGCTGCTGGGACCAGCACTACAGAGTAGCTGGTAAAGCTGTTGCCTGCGACATTGGCCTCCCATTTGGGCGCCAGTTTGTGTCCTACCTGCTTCACTTTAAATCCAGCTCCCAGCTGATTTGCCTAGAAAAGCAGAAGAAGATGACCCAAGTGTTTGGGCCTCTTCACCCACATGGGAGACCCAGATGAAGCTCCTGGCTCCTGGCTTCAGCCTGGTCCAGTGCTGGCCTTTGCAGCCATCTGGGGAGTGAACCAGTGCATTGATATCTCTCTCTCTCTCCATCTGTAACTCTGCCTTTAAAATAAATAACTCCTTAAAAATAAAAAAAGATTCTTGGACTGTAAAGATTAGTCAGCTGTCCTTGAAATAGCTGGTGAGCCAATCACTAAAGCACAAAACGGAATGAATGTGGCATAAGAAACTGAAAAGGAACTAAAGCAGTGTAAGAAGCAGGACAGAACTTCACACAGGAGGTGGTGACAGCTGCGTCTGAAGGCAGTGGGGACAAGAGTCCCCTTGCAGGCCGAGGGCATGGTCAGTGCCAAGGCAGAGCTGGGGCAGAGCGTGGTGGGAGGGGCACTCACCTGGATTCGAATGTCCTTGGAATTGATCACTTCCACAATGCCCACCACGTTGTCAAACACCAGGCCGAACTTGTTACAGTTGTCTAGGGGGAAAAATCAGCTCCACTAAATACACATAGTAGGTCTGCATGAAACAACTCATCCTAGTAATTAGTAATTGCCCTACCAATTGTAATGGAATTTATTTTCCCTTTCATCTGGAGAGTTGATTTGTTGCACTTGAAAATGTAAGCCACTTGTTTCAGTTCGGTCTCCGGAATCATAAGGTCATTCCTGTCTTCTTGGTATTCCTAAAATTAAAACAGACGCAAGCATTACGTACGTTTAAGGTTGATACCCAGGATGTGGCATGTTTCAAGGTACTCTATCTTTCAGAACCTCTCCTTGTAGAGGAAAACCATAGGTCTTACCTTAGTATCTGCATTGGCTGGAAATGGGTGGATGGAACCAGGGGTCAGGGTTCATATCAACAGGTGTCTGGACCCTGGCTAGCGGGCGGGGGCTGGAGCAGGGGTATGGCAGCTGTTGGCTGAGACACTGACGCTGCACCTGGACTCGAAGCAGTGCTGGATAAACAGGCCGGTGAAGGGTCAGGAGAGTGGTCTAAGCCCCCGTGCTTTCAGGCTACCATCACCTTTTTTAGGGACCGTGACCCTTCATCTTTAGGCAGACCCTCTGTGTGGGCAGGGGACACCAGCTCTCACCCACAAAGGCAGTTTCTTTGTCCTGTTCACACAGTTAGCCCCGGCAGGGCTGGGTGGTGGCAGCTGAGTGCCTCACTGCCTTCATCAGTGGGGCTGAACAACGCACCCCATGGAAGATCAGAATGGGGCGCCCTGGTTCCACAGGTTAATGGTTTCTCAATATTTACAAGCTGATGAAAGGAGGAAGTCAGATTCATGGAGATAGCAGGAAGTAGCATGGAGGTTTCTGGGGGTTGCAGGAGGGGGTATAAGAAGCTACTGTTCAGTGGGCTCGGATGTTCAGTTCTGTAGGATGAGACAGGTTCTGTGGATGGAACAGTAGTGATGGCAGCTCAATAAGCTAGTCCTCCGGCCTGCACGCTTGAAAATGGTCAATGCTACATTTTAATGTCTGCATTATATCATAACTAAGAAAACAATTTTAAAAGCTAAAGAATGCATGAGAATGAGTGGAAAAAAGTTAAGTTTATGGACACATTCAGAAATGTCCTGGTTTCTACTCCAGCAGGCAGATTTAGCCTCTGTCACTTGGAACTCCCAGGTAATTGGCTGAGCAGTTAGGTCCTTTAGCTGGATTGTGACAGACAAAGGTAAAAGGGAGCACTCACCACTCTCCACTTCTTTCCTTCTAACTCAAACACAGGAGCATGTTTCTGAGCAGGAAGAGATCTGGGCGATGTAGGGCTCGGGGTGTGGCTTTTGGTTGGAGACTTAGTCTGTCCTTGAGCCCGTAGGCTGGGATTCTTGTATGTCTTCTGGTCATCTGTAACATGCCGGAGCCCTGGAAGCGTAATACATGTGGACACATTTCTTTATAGTTCATGCAAGGGGAAATGTCCCTAACATGTTATGCCATGTATTGTACAGAGTATGAGAACCTCTGGTAAGGCTAGTTTCCTAACAGCCTAGTACTCCCAGTTAAGATGTCAAGTCTTCGTCCTATTAAAGTTTAGATAGCCAGAAGCACTGTAAGCATTTTTTTTTTTTAATTTGAGGAACCTCTTCTTTAAGGAGATGATAGATTAAAAATCTCTGCCAAAAAAATTCCCAATACACACCAAACCCCCTGCCCCCAAAAGATCACATGACTACTTCACCCATGGCTAAACCACTTGCCAGACACAGCATGAAAGGTTAGGGCGTTCCAGTGAGCATGCATTAGAATACGGAATTGACCTTAGAGCTCAAAGTCCACTCCTTCACTTTGCAAACAAGGTTTGGAGGAGACAGTGGAGCCAGTTGGAGTCAGAGAAAAATTTAGCATTTTGGGTTCTCATCTCTCAGCTCAGTAGAGAGGCACCCCCTTACAATCTAATTCCTATCACCTGTGCAAAGCAAAAACACATGTGCATACCATTTTTTTGTCAGCATGATTTACCATTTAAAATGCATGTGCTCCTGATCTTGAAATGTTTTATTTAACTTTTTAAAAGATTTATTTATTGCCGGCGCCGCGGCTCACTAGGCTAATCCTCCGCCTTGCGGTGCCAGCACCCCGGGTTCTAGTCCCGGTCGGGGTGCCGGATTCTGTCCCAGTTGCCCCTCTTCCAGGCCAGCTTTCTGCTGTGGCCAGGGAGTGCAGTGGAAGATGGCCCAAGTGCTTGGGCCCTGCACCCCATGGGAGACCAGGAGAAGCACCTGGCTCCTGCCATCGGATCAGCGCGGTACGCTGGCCGCAGCGCGCCAGCTGTGGCGGCCACTGGAGGGTGAATCAACGGCAAAAGGAAGACCTTTCTCTCTGTTTCTCTCTCTCCCTGTCCACTCTGCCTGTCCAAAAAAAAAAAAAAAGATTTATTTATTTATTTGAAAGTCAGAGTTAGAGAGGCAGAGACAGACAGATACATATACAGAGAAAGAGAGAGAGAGAGATTATTTTCCATGCAGAGGTTCACTCCACAGATGGCCACAATGGCTGCGGCTGGGCCACCCTGACGCTGGGAGCCAGGATTTCTTCCAGGTCTCCCACGTGGGTGTTTTTCCCAGGCCATTAGCAGGGAGCTGGATTGGGAATGCAGCAGCTGGGACTCCATATGGGATGCTGGTGTTGTAGGCGGCGGCTTTACACACTAAGCCACAATGCTGGCCCCATGATCCTGATATATTTTTAATGTTGTAAGATCTTTAAAAAAAAGTCAACTGTTCATCAAGAGAACACAGTCAGCTCAGTGTGATGCGTACACAGAGGTGCTACTGTTTGCTACATTTGTTTCCCTCGATCTTGACCTCCTGGCTGTAGAAGAGGATGCTAAGGCACCAGGAGCTGAAGCTGAAGCAACTGGGAACCCAGGGTGTCTGAGCTCCTTCTAGTCCGTGCAGCACTGCAGCTCCCGCCTTCCCTGTGTGCTGAGGACTGGGATGGCTGAGGTCCCCGTCCCTGGGGCTCCGGGTGTCTGTGCCTGGTGCTCCAGGGGGAACAGGGACACCCTCAGGTCCCACTTTCTCACCTTTTGTGATTGCTTCTCCCTGGTTCAGTTGGGCAAATAAAGCTGAGCGTGAAGGAGAGGACGCCTCTTTTTTGCCTTCGTCTTCAAAAAGCGGAGGTGGCCCTGGAGGGGGCGGAGGAGGAGGGGGCGGTGGGAGACCCGGCCCGGAGGAGACCACAGAGAACGTTGCGGCTGTCGACGCGACGGGACCCTGTGGAACACAGAAGGTGGAGAGCATGGCACTGAGACTGAAGCCCCAGCTGGGATCTTGCTGGAGTGACTCGGAACCTGTTGGCACCAGGGTTCCCAGGAGGCACACTCGGGCATGGTGGTTCTGTGCAGGGGGTCCTGGGGCTGAGCTGGGGCCCACCCTGGGAACACAGAGCACGGCTGCCAGTAGAATCTGCATGGCCAGGAGCCCTGCTGCCAACTCAGAGGCGAACAGAGGCCTGGTCACAAGTTCATGTCCAAGGCTCAGAACAGGAATGAAGCTGGCCAAGTTATCATTAGAAAAAAAGCAGTACAAATTGACAAGAGGATGTGCTCTTTAGCGACACTCAAAACCACAATCCCTGATGAGAGTGGGAGAGACAAACAGCGGATGGTTATTAGGTTGATTTTGAGCCTTTTGGACCAGCTAGAGGGAGAGATGCTGGACACTCTGGAAGTCATTTTCCAGATATGGAAGCCTCAAGCTAACCCCCAGACAAAGAGTATGGACACGTTGGAGGGGCTGCAACCGATCTGACAGTCAGTTGTCAAACCCGGGGAAAATCAGAGTGTTCCAGAGCAAGACCTGTGCTTATTCTTACTTTCTCTGCTGTGTGAAGGGCAGTCCTTGTTTTCAACGTGAAGGTCTAACAAATTCAAATGGCAGTAAAAGGTGACAGAGAAGACAGGGACTATTTTAACATTCTGAAAGGTCCACATGGATGACAGCTGCATGGTGCTTCAAGCAAGTGGGATAGAAACACACACAGACCGATTTGGGATAAAAGCCACTTTACTTTTTTTTTTTTTAAGAATTATTTTATTGGCCGGTGCTGCGGTTCACTAGGCTAATCCTCCACCTGCGACACCGGCACTCCGAGTTCTAGTCCCGGTCAGGGTGCCAGATTCTGTCCCGGTTGCTCCTCTTCCAGTCCAGCTCTCTGCTGTGGCCCGGGAGTGCAGTGGAGGATGGCCAAGTCCTTGGGCCCTGCACCTGCATGGGAGACCAGGAGGAAGCACCTGGCTCCTGGATTCGGATCAGTGCAACGCGCCGGCCGTAAGGGTCATTTGCGGGGTGAACCAACAGAAGGAAAGCCTTTCTCTCTATCTCTCTCTCTCACTGTCTAACTCTGCCTGTCAAAAAAAAAAAAAAAAAAGAATTATTTTATTTATTTGAAAGACAGAGTTACAGAGAGAGGTAGAGCTAGAGAGAGGGAGAGAGAGAGACGTCTTCCATTCCTCTGGTTCACTCCCCAAATGACCGCAACGGCCAGAGCTGAGCTGATCTGAAATCAGGAACCAGGAGCTTCTTCCAGGTCTCGCATGTGGGTGCAGGGGCCCAAGGACTTGGGCCATCTTCTACTGCTTTCCCAAGCCATAGCAGAGAGCTGGATCGGAAGAGGACCGGCTGGGACTCAAACTGGCACGTATATGGGATGCTGGCGCTGCTGGCTGGGGCTTTAACCTATTGTGCCACGGCACCAGCCCCAGTCACTTTACTTTTAGACTTGGAGGTGGAACTGTATACCTCTAATAAGGAATTATAAACTAGTTCAACTTAAAAAAATTGGGAGTGTTGAAATGTGACTTAGGTTCATATATTTTAAATACCAAGTACACAGGTAAAACATCACATAAATGCAGAATATAAATAATAAATACAGTATATTCTTATTTTCATAAACAACTCAGTACTATGATGTGTCAAAATCAAGAAGTTATTAATTTTTTAAAAGATTTATTTATTTACTTGAAAGCCAGAGTTAAAGACAGAAGGAGAGACAGAGAGAGAGGTTCACACTCCTGCTGATTCACTCCCCAAATGGCTGCAACATTCAGGGTTGGGCCAGGCTGTAGGTAGGAGCCAGAAGCTTCTTCCAGGTCTCCCAAGTGGGTGGCAGGGAACCAAGAACTTTGGTCATCCTCTACTGCCTTCCCAGGTGCATTAGCAGGGAGCTGGATCAGAAGTGGAGCAACTGGGACTCGAACTGGCACCTATATGGGATGCTGGTGCTGCTGGCCATGGCTTTAACCTGTTGCACCACAGTGCTGGTCCCAGAAGTTATTAATTTTTAAAAATTATTTGAGTGAAAGAGGGAGCTCCCATCCACTGGTTTACTCTCCAATCGCCTAAACAGCCCCAGACTGGGGAATGAAACTAATCACACACCTAAGCTCTCACCTCTTGCCTTCCAGGGTCTCCAATAGTAGGAAGCTTCAGTCAGGAGCCAGAGCTGGGGCTTGAACCCAGGCACTCTGATGTGGGATCACAGGCATCTGACTGCTAGGCCAAATACCCAGCCCTTGACTTCATCAAGTTTTAGTCTAGTAGTACAGATGCCGCTTGAAAAAGAAAACAAGCTATTTCCAAGTACTTCCATAATCCCTATTAAGTGTAGAATTCCCTTGAAAATAGATTCTTCTCTTATTCAGAATGCAAGACTTAAAAACCCAGCAGGCTGGAGTTCTCACTTCCTACAGATATAATTTGCAAGGCTTTTATGTTTCTATAACCAACCTGGCGCCATCAGGATTCCTGGGTCAAGGAGAAATGATTTCAGAGATCAATCTTCCCCCAGCATGTGAAATGTTTTCTATTGTGTTACAGGGGTGAAATTTGAGAATTTGTTCTGAATCATAAAGACCATAAATAGGAGCTTTGCGCATCAAGCAAATATTCCTGTCCTCAGTGACACACACCAAAAGTCAAGAACTACTTTTCCTCCCAATTACATAGTAACTGATTGAGTTGGTGATGGGACAGGCCCTGTCCCCACCCTCCAAACCGCTCATGGCTCTATGGTCTGATTTTTGGGGAAAGGGAAGGTGATACCGGCTCCTAACAGAATCACTTAGTTGGTTCCATGGCTCCCGGGATCCATTCTATGAGCCATTAAAGGATCCTGAAGCTGATAAGCCACATAATCAACTTTTTTTGGACCACTGATCTATTCAGAGAGGTGACGCAGGAATGGCAGGCATAGGATTTATGGCCACTGATGTTGAAAATGAAAGCCAAAAAAACAGGAGCGCTTGGGAGCAGCTGAAACTGCGCTGGGCAGACCCTTCCTGTCTGCCCAGCCACAGCACAGCCCAGGCTCGTGTTTCCAGGGCTCCTTTTCAGTCAGCATTCAGGCACTCTGCTGTGCGGAGCACCCAGCACCAAACTGGTCAGACCTTCGCTTAACTGGATCTCTGCCAGCCGCCCCTCGCACACTAACTTATCTTTACCGCGGTCCCTTCTTCTCTTTCTGTAGGACGTGAGCACTTCGGGCGCCAGAGCTGTCTGTCTTCCCGCATGGGCCTGGCTGCCAGTTGGCCTGACAAGTTCAGATGTCCCAGGAAAAAGCAGAGGAGAGGAAGGGAGCCGTGTGCTGCCCTAAGTCTAGCAGGGGTGCCGGGCACTGATGATTTTCATTCATTCAACAGATTTTTAAGGCCCAGCACATGGCAGGCTCTATGCCAGGGGCTTCCAAACTCGTCTGAACATTAGAAACATGTTAGGGATCTGCGAAAAATTCCCACGCCCAGGCCACACTGCAAATACTCTCTGGGGGTGGAGGTGACATAAGATGAGATGTGTGCTTTTCTGAGGCTCCCTTGGTGAGGGACTCCCAGGTGCTGACAAGTCTGGGGACAACCTCCATCTCCTGGGTGCAGGGGTTAACCTTAATCAGTACAACCACACTACCCAGACTGTACTGAAGCACTTCCCTAGCAGAAAACAAATCAGGAAATCGACTATTTAATTAATCTTACAAGTATAAAGTAAACTGAAAGTAGATCTTTGTAAAAATTAAGAGTTGGAATAGGAGGGGGAGGTGGAGGAGGATGGGTGGGAGGGTGGGCAGGAGGGAGGGTAGCGTGGGAAGTATCACTATGTTCCTAAATCTGTATATATGAAATACATGAAGTTTGCATACCTTAAATAAAATCAAAAAATTCAATTCTCAATGGCAGAGGCATAATTCAAGCACATGTCTGTTTGATTCTAAAATATTCTTCAAGGAAACCTTTTATACTATATTCAGACTTTTAAAAAATTATCTAGGAGGCTGGTGCTGTGGTGTAGAAGGTTAAGCCTCCATCTGTAGTGTCAGCATCCGGTATGGTGTCGGTTTGGGTCCTGGCTGCTTCACTTCCAATCCAGCTCCCTGATAATGTGCCTGGGAAAGCAGCAGAAGATAGACCAAACACTTAGGCCCCTGCACCCATGTGGGAGACCTGGAAGAAGCTCCTGGTTCCTTGCTTCTGCCTGGCCGAGCCCCAGCTGTTGGGGCCATTTGGGGAGTGAACCAGTGGATGGAAGATCTCTCTCTCTTTCTCTCTCTCTCTTTCTCTGTCTCTAACTCTCCTTCTCTGTAACTCTTCCAAATAAATACCTATTTTAAAAATTATTCAAATAAATATTTAATTTATTCTAGAAGTGGAGAGACAAAAAGAGAGAGAGGAGAAAGCCTCCCATCTGCAGGCTCTCTCCTCAGTTCTCACAACAGCCAGGGTTGGGCCAGGCCAAACCTGGGAGCCTAGAATTCAATTTGGGTCTCCCATGTGGATGGCAGGAAGCCAGCTACTTGAGCAAACAGCTGCTACCTCCTGGGGTATGCATTACTAGGAAGTTGGAGGCAACAGTGGACCTAGGCACTCCGATCTGCGATGCAAGGCATCCTAACAGCTGTGCCAAACGCCTCCTTCCTCCCTTCTCCCCCCTTTAAAAATAGCCACCAGCCAAATTAAAGATCTAGAAGTCTGTGCTGCCTCCACACATGTGTCGTAGATGAAGGAATGGGAGAGGTGTAATAACCCAGCTTGGATTTCACCTCCACTACTCCTCATTGCAACCCTCATGCTCTAGCAGCGGACCTGGGTCCTACGGCCAGCTCTGCCATCAGTGTCTGTCCTGAAGGGACAGAAGACATCTTGGGCTTTGATACTGGCACCTCATCGTTGTCACCCTTCATGCTGCTTTTTATTTTTTGGATTTATTTGAAAGGCAGAGCT